CCTAGTACAGTTAGAAGAAACCATTCAGCCCCACAGTTCTTACATTCCTCATGTTCTTTATAATGGTTTATCAGAATAGCAATACAACCTACCAAAGCCTTGCCTTCAACAGAAATTTCTTTCTAGGAAACCCATGTCGTAACTTGTGTAAATGTTTTTTATCACTGTGTGTCATGGATTTTTAGCATTTTACTCTCTAATGCGAACTAGAACTTACTACCTTCAAAACCAATCAAGTTAGAAACCCCATCGTAAATTCCAACTGCTTTGAAAATATGTTATTTGCAACCACTTCTGGTATCAAGTACTGAATCATTAGTAACAGAGCCCAAAATAACAATGACTTAAACAGGGAAGAGGTTTTTCTCTCACAGAGAAAAGCCCAGAGGGAAGTGTTTTGAGGCTGGAAAAGCAGCTCCATATTGTCACCAGGAACATGTCATACATAGTATATAGTTCCTGCCTCCAAGGCTGCTTCATGTCTCAATGTGCCTGCTAGTGCTCCAGCCATCACATGTAAGTTCCAGGAATAAGAAAAAGCAACAGAGAGGCACAAATCACATCTGCCAACCAGCCAAACATGCTCTAGAGAGCTTTTCTATGACTGTTGCCTACATCTTCCTGGCTACCAGTGAAAGGATAAAAATGTATTTCTGTCGTTTGGGGCCATTGCTACCCCCACACAGGGGTTCTGTTAGGAAAAAGCAGCAAGTAGATACTTGGAAGCAACTCTTTCTTAAAATGTACAAGTGTTTTCTAGATCTGCACTGTCCAGCATTGGTGCTGCAAGCCTGATGTAGTTCTATAAACTTAATTAAACAGTTCTTTAGTCATAAGAGGCGCATTTTAAGAGCTGGAGGCTCCCACCATGGATGGCATCCATGTACAAATTTCCCTTGTTGCAGGAAGTTCAACTGGGAACTATTGGTCTAGACTTTCCCATAACTACCTATGTGGCTATTTTAATTATTTTTACCCTTAGTAAGCTTATGGATTAGGTGAAGAAAGCTGATAAAGCATTTTAACAGTGTCCAGGGAGATGGGAAGGAGGAGCAGGGATGGAAAAGGGGAAAGAAGAAAGTTTTAATAGTTTCTGATGAGGAGTCCAGGGCTTCAGATTTACCATTTGGTAAGACAGAGAGGGGAAAAGGACTTGGCGCCTCTGTGTGGCCAAACACCCAGCTGTGGGGGGCTGAGGAGGCACATCAGTGTTACTGAGATGCCTGCTGCACACAGAAGCCACTCCTATGGCACCAGCTTTTGAAAGAAAGAGAAGACTTCATTGCGAGGTCAACCAACAAGGAGACAGGAGGCAAGGCTCAAATCTGCCACCCTGAGTTGGGGCCTGGGGCAAGTTTTAAGGGGTTGGAGGGAAGGGGATGTATTAGGAATGCTGGCCTGGCAGGGTCTGACCAGACAGCTCTGTATCCGTCCACACATGGCATGTGGAGTGAGGGGCACCAGACCTTCCTCACCGTGGGAACTCTCCCTTTGGAATAGGCTCTGGTGGAGAAATTCCGGTTCTGTGTTGATTTCTTGGCTCCATGGAGAGGAAACACTGGCTCCAAGTGTTATTTGAGGTCAGAGTTTCTCCCCTCTGCACAGGCCTGGGCTATCTGACTTACAGTTTCAGCCCTACCATGTCTGCAGAACAACTTAGGAAACAATGGGCGATGGGGTAGAGTCCATGTGAGCCGGCCCTGTGGTTACAGTAGGAGGTGAGGAGATGGAAGTCAGCACTTAGCCATGACTCCTTAAGAATTTCCGTTGTAGAGTAAGGAACAGAGCCATGGCAGTAACTTCAGAGAGGATCAAGGGCTATGGATGCCTGTTCTTGTGCTTGTGGCTTGTAGGGTTATTTCTGTTGGGTTTTTTTTTTTTTCCCCTCACATCAGTAGATCTGAGTGTGGCTGGAGGAAAAGAACAGGGATCCCCAAAGAGGAAAAGGTTTCTGATAAAGGAGGGGGATGTTGGTGGACCCCAGTTTTGTGAAGAGCAAATACGAACTCATAACAGGGAAAGGTCATCCTACTGATGCTGGGTGTGGTCAACAGGGATGTGCTGAACTTTGGCATGGGCCCCGGAGGGAAGGATAGGTAGAACCCAAGGGGGTGAGTAGGCAAGGGAGTTTGTTTCTGATGGACTATATTCTTGTTAAATGTGTGGGAACTACTAACTAAGCTTGGGGTGAAAGAGATGGTTGGGGGATAAGGTGGCTTACGATGTAATCTTAGCACTCTGGGAGGCTGAGGCAGATGTATTGCCTAAGCTCAGCTGTTCAAGACCAGCTTGGGCAAAAGAAAGACCCTATCTCTACTAAAAAAAAAAAAAACTAGCTGGGCATTGTGGTGGGTACCTGTAGTCCCAGCTACTCAGGAGGCTGAGGCAAAGGGATCTCTTGAGCCCAAGAGTTTGAGGTTGCTTTGAGACTCTTGTCTCAAAGCTGGAAAAGTCCTGGGGTAAATAGAAAATCGGTCAGAGTTCCAAATAAAGATTGACAAGAAAACTATATAGAATCCCACCAGATATGCTCTCATTCTGTTATGCATCACGTCTTTCTGGTGCACACTAGTAATAGTAATAAGTGACGTCTATACATGGAGCCCTTGCGGAGTGTCAGGCACTGTGCTGCGTATTTAACTGTACAGTCCCATTCAGTCCTCCTAACAGCCTTTGGCAGGAATGATTATCACCCCCATTGCACAGATGAGCAAGTACAGAGAGAAACAAAGATGGAGCCGAACCCACTTTGGGCATCTGTCTAGTTGTGAACCTGGGGCAATTTACACGATCTCTGGAGGCCTCAGATTCCTCTTGGAGAATTGGGAGTGAAGTCTTTATTTCATAAAATCATTAGGAATATTCAGTGAGATAATGTGTGCAAAAGAGCCAAATCCATGTTGGGTGTATCATTTTTTTTTTTTCTTAAACCATCCTAGATGATGAATTGGTGGCTGAACTAATGATTTCACTGTGGCTTGAGTTTTTCTCTCTACTCAAAGGAAGACTTAGCCTCACATCACAGAGTGAGGATCCCTATTAACTCCAGCTGCTATGCAGTTTTCATAAAGGTATAATGCAGCCTGGTGTTAAACAAACAAAAGAAAAAACAGTAGTAGCAGTCTAGGCAGGGATCTGGTGTCACTGGTCAACCAGCGTGACACCTTTGGTTGACCAGTGAGTCAACCAAAGGTGTCACATTCAGATAATATAAGAAGCTCATCCCTAGGGCCAGGCACGGTGGCTTCACGCCTGTAATCCTAGAACTGGGAGGCCGAGGTGGTCTCAGTTCGAGACCAGCCAGAGCAAAAGTAAGACCCGTCTCTACTAAAAATAGAAAAACTGAGGCAAGAGGATCACTAGAGCCTGAGTTGGAGGTTACTGTGAGCTATGGCACCACAGCACTCTACCCAGGGCAACAACTTAAGACTCTTGTCTCAAAAATAAAGGCAGCAGCTTATCCCCAGGGGAGCTGTGGTCCGCAGCCTGCTGGCTTCATTTCTTCAATGTAGTTTGAAGATTCTACATTTAACCTACATGTTGTTTATTGTGTGACTTTGAAAGTCACTTGGCCTCCTCAAAGGGAGCTTAAACGATGGGCTGCATCTCAGGCACAGTGTTCAGACAGGTTGGCTACTGTGTGTGAAGTTCTGAGTAATTCTTGCAGTCAGAAGCATAAAAAATTCCTACTAGTACAATTAACAGGTGGTGAGGGCCATGGTACAATTACAGTGCATTAGATAAGAGGGACCCGGAGAGTTCCCTTGGCAATAGATCTCAGTGTGGTCTGAAGACGCTGGTTAACATCATTGCTTGTCCCTTGCAAGGAGCAAGGCAGAATCGCTTTGCTGCAGGAGTGCTCAGAGATGCAAACATGGGCAGAGGCAGGATCATGCCACATCCAAGCAGGGCAGGCTGGGACTCGGTCTCCTGAATGCCCTAGGTGCTCATTTCCCCACAGGATCTAAATCACTTTTCCAGGCCAAAGCTAGAAATCCTGAAATCTCCCTGATCCGCAAGAAGCACTCATTGTAATTGAAATCACTGCTCATATTTATTAGAAAAGCAGAATGCAGAATTATTAGAATGCATCTGTAGAGACCCAGCTTCCATAGTTCTCCAAGCTCTGGCTGTCAATCAACAAACCTCAGCCTTACCATTCCCTGAGGCGGAAGCAAAACTGCTTTAATGAAATGTCCTCAGAAAGAATAAACTGGAAGGGCACCTTCTATTGTACGCGTACCATACTCTGAAGAACATAGCTAACAGGGTGGTGACAGAAGCCTGGCAGTGTGAGTGGCCCTGGGCAGAAGGTCCCGTTCTGTCTGGGCCAGGGCAGCAGACTGCCACTGAGACACAGTGAACGAGATTCATCTCCCCAGTGGAAAGCTGATAGTACCTGCCATTTGCAAAAGAGAGGACAGCATCTCAGGCCTTGCAGGATCTGGGGGGTCCCTTGGGGATAGATCCACAGAACAAAGGCCCATTGTCAGATAACCAAGAGGCCACTCTCCTGCTGACTTCTTAATCTCACCACTGGGACTTGATCACATGTGCCCAAGGGATAAACACAGTGAACGTTCTCCGTGGACTGGGTACCACCTCCCAGGGTTTGTTCCAAAGAGGGCAGAGTGCTTTGATCATGGAAGAACCTGACATAACAAGTGTCCTGGTGTGCAAATACTCCTGGCAGGGTACAGACAGGCCTCTGTGTGCGTGGGGGGAGGGGTTGCATAAAGCAGCAGAGATGGCTCGGCGCCTATAGCTCAACCGGCTAAGGCACCAGCCACGTACACCTAAGGTGGCGGGTTTGAATCCCCAGCCCAGACCCGCCAAACAACAATGACGGCTACAAC